ATGCATGCATACATACACACTCACATACCTACCTACCTACCTGCCTGCCTACCTACCTACATGCTTGCATACATACATACATACATACATACATACATACATACATACCTACATACCTGCCTACATACATACATACATACATGAATACATACATATACAAGTATACATACACGCATGCATACATATGTACATACATAGATGCATGCATGCATGCATGCATACACACACACACACTCACATACCTACCTACCTACCTACCTGCCTGCCTACCTACCTACATGCCTACATACATACATACATACCTACATACCTGCCTACATACATACATACATGAATACATACATATACAAGTATACATACACGCATGCATACATATGTACATACATGCATACATACATAGATGCATGCATGCATACATACACACTCACAAACCTACCTACCTACCTACCTACCTGCCTGCCTACCTACCTACCTACATGCTTACATACCTACATACCTACAGACCTACATACATACATACATACATACATACATACATACATACATACATACATACGTGCATGGGTCCAACCATCGATCCATCCACCCATCCATACGAGTATCGCAGGCCTCGCTGGCCACGGTACCGGAGCAGCCTCGGGCAGCTGGCCTTTGAGAACTCTGCGCTGGTTTACAAGGCTCTTCGGGCTTAAGGGTTCAGGGTCTTTAAAGCCACAGAGATCCATACAGGCTTCGAGGGCTGAAGAGCTTGGGGCTGCTGAGGGCTTGGGTGTTCAGGGCTTTGGAGCTTGCGAGCTTTTTGGGCTTCAGGGTTATAGGATTTGAGGCTTTAGGGTTTAGAGTCTAGAGCATCTCGAGGTGGCACGAGTGCTTGAAGTAGCAAGTTAAGCACAGCTCTCAACAGATCAAACACGGCCATTTTTCAGGACACCCATGTTCCAACTCACTTGGACACATAGCCGCCATAGCCCCTACGTGAGCCTGCAGTTTACAACATCAGCTACCCAAGTCCGGAATGCAAGCTCTTCAACATGTTCTTCAGCCAAAGAGTCAGACACAAACGACTGGCCCGCCAGCCGCAACCCAGTCGTCCAACATGAAGACCGTGCATGGCGTGAATTGCGGAAAAATAATCTCGATGTCCGTGAATGTAGCATGCTTCTGTATGACGAAGGAGTAATTGTGAGCTTCTTCAGCTCCGAGGTTGATGTTTATGGGGCCTCGGCCCAGATGTTGGATACAATGTGTTGGTTTTAGTTCTGGATAGAGGGAAACAGAACTTCTGGCACCCTGAGCTCTCCGTAAGTACCTGTGTCGCCTCGATGCGGGATTGAAAGTTTGTGAGCATAGGCGACAGGGGAACAAGATCGGGTCTTGAGCAGCTTCGACGGCAAGCCACAAGCAGACATGAGACTATTCCCACGCTTCCCTTCCGTAAGTTACACCTGAACATGCCCCATAATCCGCCTTATCTGTGGCTAGGAATTGACATGTCGCGTCTTCGGGCCGAATTCTCCGTTCCAGGTTCAATAATCCAGAACACCTTGTTCCGGAACACCTCAAAAAGGCAGTGCGGCCGGAGGTATTCATGTCCGAAAACCCCGGCGACAACACCATGTGCTTCCCCACCCCCTTCAGCCCGACAAAACATCCGTTCTCGACCCAACCCCCATGTGTGGATGTATATCTCTTTCTTTAGCAAGGGTACGAGGTGCAGGAGAGACCTCTGTGTGTGTGTGTGTCTGTTCTGTCTGTCTGTCTCTCTCTTTCTCTCTCTTTCTTTCTTTCGCCAGGGTTGTGGTCTCTCTCTTTCTCTCTTTTTCTCTCTCTCTCTCTCTCTCTCTCTCTCTCTCTCGCTCGCTCGCTATATACTATAGAAAGTCTCAAAACTCAGACCCCAAGCACTGGACGTAACGCTGAGACCCGTCCAGCACGGAATAGTGAAAGAGACGAATTTCAGGTCTTGGCAGCTGCGAAGCCTTGCTGTCGTGATGACATACTGACGACCAAACTCGTAGTCATTCCATATGGTCTGCTGCTAGTCATTCTCACCTTTGTTTCAAGGGGAATTGCGGTTCTGGGTTTCGGGTATTGGTTTAATTGCGTCGGACGAAACGTGCGCATTGCATAGGCCCCTAGAATCGTCAAACTCTGACTGTAATACGGACTCTACGCACTCATTGCGGCGCTCGTGCTTAGTCTTACGAAGCCACTGAAGCATGTCCCCGTTGTGCCAAAGCCTATGCCCCACGCTGGCCCCGTACGATCGAACCTGTCAAAGCCTGAAGCGCGCCGTCTCCGACTCAGACCTCCACGAGGCTCTCCAAGCATTAGCCCAAAACCCTCCACCGTGATCCTGCAGCTCAAACTGTTTAAACAGAAGTCTTGAACTAATTCCGAAACCAACATTCACCAAAAGAGCATGCAGTCCGTACCCTCTGAATCATCCTTGGAGCACAGAAGCAGTGACTAATAAACGGCCAGCTTTTGCCCAAGGCACGCTTCAACCTCCAGGCGATATTACCGTCGGACTGCTGCAGAGTTCATGCTGACAGCACACCTATTGTTGTGCAAACTGCTGTGTAATACCTAAACCTGCTTTCAGGATTCGCGCCACGACAGTTGCTGTGTGAAGGCAGGGCGTGCAGCAACGTTGACAGGAGCTGGACGGTATTCAAGCGCCCGCTATTGCGGGACCGCATTCGCAGGAGCATTTGGGAGCGTCGCATTGCAATGCGAGCCTGTGAAGTTTCAACCCTGAAGCCCTATCCTGTCAGGGGTTTATGACAGTCTAGCAGCCTAGCATGCATGGTCATGACGCAGGGGTCCGGATTCGAAACCCTGAAGTAAACAAATCCTCTGAGAACCTAACACGCGGTTGGGGTGTAAGGCTGTTAGCAGCTAGCCGCGGTGTCCTTATCGCAAAGTCGACCTCACAGCAGTTTAGGCTTTGGTTGAGGCTGACGGTATAAGGGCTTTGGCTGCAGAGCTTGAGGCTCGGTTCGTTTGGGTTTGGGGGCTCGTCGTAGTGTGTTTCGACGCAGCTTCCAAGTGCTCATAGCTAAGATTAAACTGCCTCGCCACAATCACGAGAACGGGCACTCAGAGAAAGACAGCACCTTCACTTGGGGTATCCGGAGCAGTGTATTTGATATCTGGACTCCCGGATTCAGCTCTGGTTCCACGCCGGCGTTAGGAAAAGAGGGCACAGGGCCTAGGATTGCGGCAACAGATGGAACTCACGCGAGCTAGGACTTTGACTCTGCATCGCGCGTTGGAAATGTGGGGTATTCAGCCTTCACTGATAGATGGAAACAAACCTATTGCTGCTAGTGATGCCCAGTTGTGAAGCTGTGCAAAGGCTCGCTGCCCCAGGGGGGTTGCTAGTCTTTGCCCCCTAGGTCAATCCCAAAGTGTGCAGAATTAAGCTTTGCACCGCCTGAGCCGTTCCACTAGGCACTAGGGAGATTCCAGAGGGCCCCTTCAGCGCGCAATCGTTTCGAACCTTGAGAAACGAAGGCGGAACGTGCATCTTGTCTCTAAGCTGGGTGAAACCTTGGGATGCTCGGCACACGCTCGCAAGCTTGGTGATTCATGAGCAAGACGTGTAGTAAGGGTTCAGGCTAAGCCGGCTTAACCCGAATTCCTAAACCCTCAACACTGCTAAATCTCGGAAACAATTCCTAAACCCTCAACACTGCTAAATCTCGGAAACCCCAAAACCCGACATCCCAGAACTGCAAACCTCGAAACCTTTAAGCCGCCAAACCCTAAGCGGCCCTACAACTTAAGCTGATATCCTGAACTCTCAGCTTAGGGGTCTGCATCAGTGCATCGACGTCGTACTCAGGCAGGGCGAGCTGCAGATCATGTGGAACCTTAACGAAAAACCGCGAAAGCCTCAGACCCACAGCCGGAACTGCATAATGGCGTCCCGTACATCAGAAGAGGTTGCGAGATCGCCACTAGAAGCTTGAGATCTAGCCCCTACCTGACAATATGACGAAGCCTTCAGTGTGCCAAAGGATTTGAACTTCAGAGTGTCGCTAGGATCCAGGGTAATAAATCCAACATTGGTGAGACAATAAACTCCCCATCCTAGTCGGATTCTCACCATGACCCCAGGAGTTGGTTCGTCCATCGTTAGGCCCAGAACCTTCGAGCATTGGCCTCAGCGTTCACGCGCCAGACATTACCTAAACACACGCTTAAGATGGAAGCTGGTCGCCGGTCAGACAGTCGCACAAGGGGTCTAGCAGAACAGCGGAGACGCTTTCGAACTTGCCAGCTGAAGAGCCCATCCTTGGGTGGTAATTAAGCTGATAGACCAAAGACCGGCTTTCTCAGAAAAGTGCATCTTGCTATATCATGTTAGTTTCTGGTTTTTATTTCCCGGAACAGCAATGCGGCTGGGGTTGTGGCAGTAGCCGCAACACTGAGCAGCAGCAGCAGCAGAAGCAATAGTAGCTAGTACAGCATTAGTACGACCGATGACCACTAAAATGATCCCAGCCGCGAGCAAACCGGCACCGGCAGCTCAGAGCCTTCTCCAAGCCTTGGCAACCAACTCTCGTTTCCTAATCGGGAAATTCTGAGGTTCAAGGTTTCGGAGTCTAGAATTTAGAATGTCAGATTACGCTTTTCCCCTTTTAGCTTCGGGCTTAGGCATAGGAGCTTTTGGAATAGAGAGGGAATGTATAGTGACTGTGGACTGTAGAGTTTGGAAACAGCTCACGAGGCTTTATTATCTCGCTTCCACGCTCGAGAACCTAAGAGCCTGAGATGGGAGCGTCTGGCAGCAAAAAAATGCTGGTGCTGATGCTGCTGGTGCTGCCGGTGCTGTTGCTGCTGCTGCTGCTGCCGCCGCTGCTGCTGCTGCTTCTGCTGGAACTGCGCTGCTGGTGCTTCCTGCTTGCTGCTTGTGCTGGTGCTGCCGCCGCCGCCGCCGCCGCTGCTGCTGCTGCTGCTGCTGCTGCTGGTGCTGCTGCTGGTGCTGCTGGTG